CGGGTCCCCCTTAGGGAGCGCCACGCCGCCGAATCCATCTAAATTGAGGGGGAAACCCTACAGTTGTATAAAAAGGACTTGTGAATAATGGCCCCACCTTCTTATAAACAAAGCGTCGCGTGCTGGGAATCGCCCGAATGCGACATACCCAAAGACCAAAATCTAATCCGCGGTATCTGCCAGTCACTTCTTTGTGGTGCCGCGGATTAGTAGCCAATTGGCGAAGCTAAGTGCTTGCCCACCTTCCCGTTATCGGCGGAGGCATGTAGGCTTGGCTACTGGCACTGATGGGGCATTCGACAGGGCCCCTTCCGAGGCGGTGTGGGCGGATGAATCACTCTAACAGAACATTGCCAGCGCCTATCTGGTCTCCAGTCGCAGCTTCATAAAGCTTCAAAAGAGGCGTTAATATTGTTTTTCGGCTGTTAACCCTGCTCTTTCTACACACATTTCACCTGTTAGCAAAGAAACTAACAAAAGCGTTGGATCTTAGCAACATTTTATTCTTTTTAACATAAAGACGATATTTTATTGATTGCAACGCCCCCCAAAAGAAGGAAGGGAAACTGAGTTGGAAATTTCAAGCTGACCCAAGGTGCTGAGGTGTCGAGCCTTTTATTCACTTACAAAGCATGCATAATTTATTAATACTTTTGTTTTGACAAGGTGAGACGATTGTAGAACCGTTTGCTAGACGGTAAAATTCTCAAAAAGTATGTGGCATTATTATCATTATTTTTTTTGAAGCAAGAAAAATTCATGAAATTATCGGGGCCCAATTAAACGACATACATCTCTTTCTCTAAAAAAAGACTGCTTTCACTTGAGGTGCTTAGACACTGGAATTTAGTGTATTGTATTCTGGACTTCATTGGTCAGAATGACGATAAATATTCATAACGAGCGACATAAATATTCCTATGTTGGGTGCAACGAAAAGGGGGTCTATAGAAGGGGCCCATTTTCAAACCATCCATGCTTCTTTCGAATGAAATATAGTTATCCAACCCGCTTGGTTGCGACTGAAAAATATTTCACTATTAATATCACAAAGCGAATCTACAACTTCACTTTATCACTCCTCTGATAGAAGCGAATATAAGTGTTGGCTATAAGCCGCACTTAGCTCAGCGCACACGGAATTTGTTGTCGGGGAAAGACAAATTTATACAGGCGGTTAAATTTTTATAATAAGACTCAACAGCGGGTAGAATAAACTTCATTATAATGGTTCTTCTTTAAATTTGACCATAGATCAATTGGAGGGTTTGTTAGTTAGCTATGAATTGACTAAATATACACCTAATACATTTTCACGAATGTGCCTTTTTGTGCTTGCGTATGTTATGTGAAGACGGAAGGGTCAGTTATATCTGTGGATATTCCGCCATGTTTGAGAAAAGTCTCAAAACCATGATATTTTCGTCCAACAGGCTGATTGAAAATTTAGTAATGCTAGGAAAATGTGTGAGTTGATATCTAACTCTTTGGCGAAGGTGATAATATTTTTTTCAGTATTGCTTTTCTCCCTTTCCCATATTTATGCTATATTGGGGAGGTGGGTGAGGTGTTTGAATTCCCTTTGTATACTGTTTTTTCTAGATATACGTTTGTTGGATTCCTTCACTGAAGAGAGCTATCAAAATAAACTTGTCAAAGCTTTTAGTCTATTCGTTTATTTCTTGTCGTGTAAAATATATTAGCATTTCTAGGTATTTGTCCCTTTAAATTCTTACAGTGTTTAGCTTATATATACTTTTGACCTCAACTTTTTTTTCCTTCCCACACAATCTTCTTAGCATCTTCATAAAAAGATCATGGATTCTTACAGCATTGTGGATGTTCCAAGTTCTGTTGACTACAACACAAAATGTTGTTGTAAGACGACAGACGACGTTTACTACCAGGTACCAAAGGAATACTTTTGCCTGAATCACAATTTGATGAGACGAAAACTGCAGTTAAATGAGCCTTTTCAGGTTCCTCTTAACCGTCGTACGTTTGAACCACTTTTAAAGTTGCTTGAAAAGGCAACACTTCTCTCTTCTGCTGCAGTTGAGGACGAAGCTAGGGGTACGAAAAGTGAAAGGCCCGATTGGATGCGTGATCTCAACAAACGGGAGCAAAAATTCGTGAGCTCCTGTCTTGGTATTACTAATTGGGATGGTAAAGATGTTGCTTTTTATGAGGAATCCCTCCCCAAAATAGATCAAGTTGTTTGGGTTAAGGTTACACAAGTTAATGACACTTCTGCTGTTGTTCAGCTCCTTGAATACAGCAAGCGTGAGGGAATTATTCCTTACACTGAGATCACTCGGAGGCGTGTTCGTTCCATGGGCAAACTTATTAAAGTTGGTCGTTGTGAAGCAGCACAGGTTATTCGTATTGATGAAGAAAAAGGATATATTGATCTTTCCAAAAAACAGGTGATGGGTAGTGAAGCAAAAGCATGTGAAGCACATTTCCGTAAAGGTAATGAGGTACGCTCCATCGTCTGCCATGTTGCAGAGGAATGTGGCATTCCTGCTTATGAGGCAATGGAAAAAATTGCCTATCCATTGTACCGCCGAGAGCCAAAGATGCATGCATGGAATTGGCTTTGCGAACTTAACCAGTCGCAAAATGTGGATGAAATATTGGGTCCTCTAAATCTTTCGAAGCAGCTTCAGGACAGTCTTATGTCATGTCTGAGGAATGCTATGCGTCTAAAGGTGCTAACGCTTCATGCAGAAGTTGATATCACATGCTTCACATGTGATGGTGTTGAGGCCATTCGCGATGTCTTGCTTATCGGGAAGAGCTATGGTGAGGGAAAGGAGCCTCATGTTGCTATCACCGTAACTATTATCGGTCCGCCTAAATACGGCCTGCGAGCCCGCACAGATATGAAGGAGGAGGGCCTACAATTGATGAAGGAGTCCATAGAGGCTATGAAGATTGAGATAGCAAAGCGTGGAGGGCAGTTGAAGGTTGTGACAGCCCCGCAGGCGATTGGAGAAGAAGATGGGCCAGACAAAAATGATGAACAAGAGGGTGAAGAAGAAACCGAATGAATAAGTTTTTGAGCGTGCATAATTTCTGATCTTTAAGGGGTGTAATTACTATTTTAGTTTTATTAAGTGTTAACATCTATTTGAAGTATAATAAACATCCATAAAACAGTAAGTTTCCGGATGCAATTCTCTTTCTCTCTCTCTCTGTGTGTGTGTGTGTGTGTGTGTGTGTGTGTGTGTGTGTAGNTATGA